TAGGAACAATTGATTGATAATCATAGAAAAGAAGCAAATAGAAGCATAAAAGTTAAATATTCCTGTAAAGTACTGTTGTCGAAAAGTGAACTTAAGTGCAGTAATTAGGTGAATGCAATAAATCATTTCCGGGGTTTATTAGAGCATGAAGGTGAACTCACCTACGGATCTGTGTTGTGATACCTCTGGAAAACTATAGTGAAAACTATAATGCAAAGGTGGTTAACATAAGACACACACATTGCAACACTCAAATGTATGTATACTGATCAATTCTACATGATTTGTCTGATTCATGAAATAAAAAGAAATGATTATTTATAAAGAAGTTTTTTAAACAATTAAAGCATGAAAACACAATGTTATATTTTGTGGTATGATTACCTGGGTGAAGGCAGTGAAGCAAGGTCTTCCTCAGATGACCAATCTGATTGAGCGGAGCACATACAAAGTGAAACACTCAGCTGGCAGCCATTGAAACAGAAGCTAAATGTAACCCATTGCAACCCAACTGAATCAAATTTCACAGCGACTGTCTCATGTACATCAAATAAAGACTTGAAAGTTGCTATAGGTGACATTCAATATTTTAGCATTATTTTATTGCAACATAAACATGCACATAACGTTTAATTTCTTCATGTTTTTTGTTTTTCAGTATCTCCTACATTTATTACAAAACCACAGCTACTACAGCTACAGTTGAATCTTAAAGCCAAGAGGTCAATGTAGAAACGCCCCACTGTGGAAAACAACAGCCAGCTGGAGATGGACAGATCAATGTTTTGCTTTTTACCTCGACATGCAGAGTTCACACAGATGTAAGGTTGGGGCTTTAAGGTTCAGTTCACCCTAAATCAATCAAATAGTGCTTCATGCACTTACACTTACGTATAGGAACCAGTAGTGTTTTAGATGTGTTCAAGTCAGATGTTCCTGAACTCCCCTGTTGATTTGTCCTGAAAAAGCAAATTAGAAGGCAGTTAATATGACATGTACTTACACACACACATACATACACACAACCTCACACAACAAAAGTATACAACAAAACTAAGTACACTCCTGAACGACTCCATGTACAAGTCACTATTTACACAACTTCATGGTAAAAAACATGAGCACTTGCTTGTGGCTTGTGGAAACTGGCGCTTCAGTGTTGCTCCGACAGTAAATGAGACATGACATGAAGTCCACCTCAGCCTCATCAGATAAAAAACACATTCTTTGGTCAGATGGACACAAGATAAAGGATTTCGGTCCAGATGGGGTCCAGCATGTTTGCTGGCTACAACTATCACTGTTACAGCATCGTGCCAACAGTAAACTATAGAGGTGTCAAGGAGATAACATTACAAATTGAACTATAGATGCCAGGCTTTAGACCCAAATCCAGGGTGAAAAGATGGGTCCCAGTCTCCAGACACTTCACAAGAGACGATGTTTTCAGCATCCCAAAGAACCTGGTGAATATCCCTTAACTGCACTCCTGAGACATTTTGACACTCTGACAAGTATCTTCTGGGTTATCAGGTGATCTTACAGTTTTACTTTATACTCTCTCTTTTCGCATACCCTGGGGTCAGACTCAGGTGCTGACAGGGTTAAGCAACCACTGCCTACATGCCTATCACTCAGTGGGAGGCCAGGTATAACCCTTTCTCTTGATCCAGATCTAGAGAGGACTGCTAGCCGGTGGGCCTTCCCTTGCACACCCATCCCACAGAGTAGCCTTGATGTTGATGTG